TTGCCCATATGGGCTTCCCATAAGTCCTGGGCCCCTCTGCAACTATTCTAACATGCACTTCAGCAAAATCTCCCCTACAGAAGGTTCAGTACTCTCCATTCTGTCAGCCACAACTCAAACCAGTCCAGTAGAGGAGGACAATGACATACCTCAGTCAGACTCAGCTAGTGTCCTTTCAAGCAATCCTCGTCTCCACAGACAAAGTGGTGTTTCCGTCGCCATCTTCTCCAGCAGATGACCTGCAACCATTTCAGGAGTTATTCAAAAGGGTAGTGCAGTCACAAGACATACCCTTACAAGAGATGCAGGAAAACCAGCACAACTTATTAACAATTTTGCAGCCTTCCACATCTTCTAAGATTGCACTACCAGTAAATAAGGCCATCCTGGAGCTCTCAGAAGCCAAATGGCAAACACTGTTCTCTATTTCACCCACCAACCGTAGAGTTGACAGAAGATATTTTGTCCCACCGAAGGACATGGATTTTCTGTTTTCTCATCCGCAGCCAAACTGTTTGGTTGTTGGATTCTGTCTGCCACCAATCTAGACAACTACATTATAAGTCAACTCATGTACCAGTATAGTGTGGCCCTGAATCCAGGCAAACGCTCTGCAGGGGACACATTCACCATACCACGGACAGCTCCTCTTCCATACGTATTCCCTCTGATTCCCCTGATATCCAGGGTAATCTGCAGGACCCAAGAGGACTGAACAAAGTCATCCTAATAACACTATATTGGCCAAGACAACATTAGTTTCCGTACCTCCATTACCTGTCAATTGCCAAACCCATTCAACTCCCCGTCACTCCTTAGTCATTAACTCAACACAGTGGGCAAACGTCACCCAAACCCTCAGAATCTGAGGCTTACCGCTTGGCTTCTCTTTGGTTCCAGAATGATGAACTTACCTGCTCCCAGAGCGTAAAACAGATCCTCAGCAGTCAATGCCCTTCCACAAGGTACTCCTATCAAAACAAATGGAAGAGGTTTCAGGAATGGTGCAGTGAACGCAATCTACAACCACAGACCTTCCCAATACATACCGTATTGGAATACTTAATGGACTTCAGTGACATCAATTCCATAAGAGTCCATCTGTGAGCCATCACCATTTTCCACAAGCTGGTGAGCGACATTTCAGTGTTTGCTCATGCCATCGCTAAGCGGTTCCCAGCAAGTTTATCAAAACACGATCCCACATGCATCCACTTGTCCCACCTTGGGACTTGAATCTTGTGTTAAACTCCTTAAAAAGACCTCCCTTTGAACACTTAGCAACAGCCTCAATGCAGCACATGGTCATAAGTGTCTTTCCTTGTCACAATAGCATCAGCATGAAGAGTAAGTGAAATCTCAGCCCTTATGGTGGACCCACCATATACACTCTTAACTAACGATAAGATTATTCTCAGACCCCATCTGAACTGCGCGTGCCACCCAAGCACTGACTGCATCTACGGCCTTTCAACATAATGTCCTGCTAGCCGACATCTACAGGGTAGCTACGGTCTTCCACATACACTTTTGCACAACATTACGCATTACTGAAAGGACCAGTACCTACCATCTCCCATGGGCAATGCCATCCTTGCCTCTGCCGGTAGATGACTTGAAAGTCCCACCTCCACAATGGGGAGTACTGTTTTTTACTCAGCTGAGTGGGATACCCATAGGGGCACCATTCGAAGGAGAAGAAATTACTCATCTTGTGCAGTAACGATGGCTCTTCAAGATGTGTGTCCCTGTGGGTGCTCCACTACCCTCCCTTCCTCCACTCTACTTTGTAGTCTGTTACAGGATTTCCAGTAGAAAAGGAATGGTCGGAGACTCGTGCCATGCTCACAGCTAATGGACAAAAACAGTGCAAGATGGCTGCTGCACATGGGGAGGCACTGGTAGACTAAAAATCTCCCATTGCTGGCATGAGGATGCACCAACACCTGAGTGGAGCACCCAGAGGGGGGACACATCTTGAAGAGCCATCGTTACTGCATAAGGTAACTTCTTCGTCTCTTTATGTTTAACCAGTTTACTGATTAAACAGGATTTTACAACCCTATTCCCATGCTATTTTGCATGCTTTGAGAATATATGCTCTGACCATAAATAGATGCACTATAGCAGTCACTAGTCACAACAGCAATACCATTTGCACCATTTGTTCAAAGAATTCTCCCATTTTGACACTCTTGTGTCCAGGACAATAATTCAGTGGTAACCGCTCTCCACCATTCCCTGGTTCAGGGACAGGCTCAGTCTCAATCACTATGGATAGCTGGGCCCTAAGTACCATCAGTATGGGTTATGCCATATAGTTCCTCTTCCCCATCCCCTTTCACATCCCTTTTTAGGAACACCTCTCATTAAATTTGTCATCGCTGGCCAGGACTACCAGTACACTGAATTCCCTTTTGGCTTGTCTTCTGTGCCTTTTGGTTTTTAGCAGTTGTAGGATTATGGTAACAGTATACTTGAGAGAATGGAATTCATGTCTTCCTGTATCTGGATGCTTGGTTACTGAGTGTCAGGCACTGAGAGGAAGTCTTCTCATTTACAACCTACTCAATTGTTTAAGTTTCATTCTGACCAGTGGAAAGTCCAACATTAGTTCCAATTCAAAGAATTGAGTTCACTTGGGCCATGATAGGATTCTCAGAGTTCAAGTATATTTTTACAAATCAGCTGCAGTCTTAATCTTCAACCACAGCCTGAGGGTGCTAGGCCATATGGCTGCATATGCACAGATAGTGCCCTGTATCCTCTTCAGATGTGTGATTGGCCTTCACCAGCCAGGATTATAGGCACCCTTGCCTCATTAATAGGTTGAGGGAGACCATCGGGACTTCCTGAAAGTTCAAGGCCTGTGGTCAGAATGAGAGGTTTCTGTATATAATAATGTCCTGGAGCTTTTTACCATTTATGGTACCTCTCAGGCCTTTCAGAATCTTATCAGGCTCAGCACTTCTCATACTCACTTTACCATCATGTTATGTGGAGCATATACCAATGTGCTTATCAGGAGGCAGTCATGCTCTGGAAGATTTACATTGGGGAAAATGTTCCCCCACCCATTGCCTATCACTTACCTGGGACCCACAGCCTCAGCTGGAATTTCTCCCTGACTTCAGTCATCTCTGAAGCCTAGCATCCTTTGGCTTATCTTTGAAGTTTGGGGCATCCTGACAATTAACCTGTTAGTCATGAGAGAAAACAAAAAATGTCAGCTATTCTGCAACTGAGGAGGTCTCAGTCCAGGCTAGAGATGTAAGAGAGTAGTCTGTTATTTGACTACTTGCATTCTCCCCCTCGCTTGCTGCCTCGATATCAGAGGCAGCAAAGGTGGGGAAGCAGGTGCCAGTGCTAGTAGGAGCCAGATTAAAAGATGGTTCCCCCCACCACTGTCTTCTGTCCCCCCACCTCTGTCAGAGGTAGTGGGGAGGGGCAAGAGAGGCTGTTCTGTCAGCAGCCCCTTGCCCTGGGGGGTCCCAACTTCCTGCTGGTACCCTCTCTGGAAAGAGGTTGTTGTAGCAAAGCAGCCTCTGTCTGGGGGGTGGGGGGTTCCACTTCCCACTGGGACCCTTTGCAGACAGAGGCTGCTGCCGCAAAGCAGCCCCTGGCCAGGGCTGCTATTAGCTGGGCAGGCAGCCCTGCTCAGTCCTGGTTTGCCTCGGGACCAAACCCCACTGCAACTTTGCAATTTAAAAGGAAGTAGGATCCAGGTAGCTTGCCTCCTGGCTCCTACTGTGTTTTGAATTTTAAGAGCTACAGTGGGATTTGGTCCCTGAGCTGATGTGAGCAGGGGCTGAACTGTGCTGCCTACCTCTATCAAGAAGTCGATAAAAATTCTGTCAACTGCTTGATTACTATAATAACCTTAATTTAACATCCCTAGTCCAGGCTCCTTGAACAGTGCCTTCCACCTGAGCTTCTGGAATCAGCACTGTTATATGCCTTTCCACCCAATTCTGATAATCATGCAGGTCATTCTCAAGCTGAAACTGGATCATGCCAAGCTCATTCTTATTATGCAGTGTGGATGTTTCGTGGCTAGATGAAAAGGAGAGGAATAATGTTCAGAGGAAGTCCAGCAAGGCTTGCTTAGCTGTAGGAAACTATCTACCATGGCAGCCAGATCAGTCTAATGGAAGCAATTCCCAACCTAATGATGGTCAGCTTGGGGCATTTGAACAAACCCCCCTTGCTGTTTACAGGACATCTTGGAGTACCCGTTACACCTTCAGTCTTCTGCTCTTATGTTTAGATCATCAAGAGTCCTTCTGGTAGCACTTTTGGCATTTCATCCATAGGAAAGTGTTTGGGTTTTTTTTTTCCATACTCCATGGCAGTGAGGTTCTTGAAAGAAGTCAGTGAGCTCCATCCACCAGTTAAGTGCCTGTTTCATTGTGGGACCTTAATACTTTTTTAATAACTCTTATGAGATCTCCGTTTGAGCCTCTGACAACTTCTTCCCACCCTTCTGTATGACAGAACTGCCGCCTTGGTGGTGATAAAGTTTGCAAGTAGAGTATGTAAGTTACAGACTTTGAGGGCAGAGCCCTTTACATCCAAGACTAAGTAACATATGGAGAACTTGGGCATTTCCTTGTGGGTCCTGCACAAGGGTCCATCAAAACTGGGCAGCAACATGTCCCCACAGCTGTATAACGAGCCCCACCCAGCCAGGGGTGCAGGGCTGCCACACACAAAAGTGGTTGGCTGGGAGAGGAGCACTTCTCCCTCAGCTGGTAGGGAGAGGATGTAGTAGTAGTGGGTGTAGAGCAGTATGTGCTAATTGGTAGTTACATATTGGTCCCAGAAATACACTGGGGTGACTAAAATTGTGCAAAGTTGCTGTAAATTATGACTTAGTGCTTATCTAGATAGTCTCACCATCCAGTGGATAAAGAGTATTGTAATAAAGTTTATTTTAATTGTTTGAAAGACTATTTAAAGAGAGGATAATCAGTTTGTGGCTTTTTTTTTAAACACTTCAGTTGCCGGTGTACACTCAGTTGGCTGTTTCTCAATCAAGATGAGTGGATTAGGAGAAAATTCCTTGGACAGCTTGACCAATGAATCAAGGAAACGCAAGCCATTGCCCTGTGATGCCCAAGGACCCGGGTACAGTATGCACATTCTCCTCAGTTTTTTTATTAGGTTTTTTCATAATAAAGCTATAAATAGTGCAGTGTGTTTTTGTGTTTTTTGTGGTGTTTTTGTTTATAGGCTTTGGGAGGGCTATCAAATTATTTAAAAAATGAATTGTGATTAATCACATTATTAAACTGAGTGCCATTTATTTAAATATTTTGGATGTTTTCTACATTTTCAAATATAGTAAACTTCCGATAATCCGGCACCTTTAGGACCCAGGGGGTGCTGGATTATCAGATATGCTGGACTATTGAAAGGGGGGCTATGAGGGGTCTGGGGTGGGGTCGATAGTCCGGCTCTGCCCCAGGTGTCCCCGATTCAGCCGCTGCTGGTCAGTTTCTGGGTTGGTCCGGTAGCACTGCCCCTTGGCGCTGCAAGATCAACCCGGCAGGACCTCAGTTGCTCTTGGGGACATCTGGGGCTGAGCAGCTGGGGTGCTGCCAGGTTGGTTCCACAGCACCAAGGGGTGGCGCTACGGGACCAACCCGGCAGAACCCCAGCTGCTCTTGGGGACACCTGGGACAGAGCAGCTGGGGTGCTGCCGGGTTGGTCCCGCAGCCCCGAGGGGCAGCACTACGGGACCAACCCGGCAGAACTCCAGCTGCTCTGCCCCCGGCTTCCCTGATTCAGCTGCTGGTCAGATTCAGCAGTGGCTGAATCGGGGAAGCCAGACGCAGAGCAGCTCCAATTGTCCCGCAGCCAGAGCACTTCTGGGTTCCTGATGGTGCCAGAACATCAGGAGTGCCGGAGCATTGGATGCCGGACCAATGGAGTTTTACTGTATATTGATTTCAGTTACAACAAAGAATACAAAATGTATAGTGCTCACTATATATTTATTTTTGGTTAGAAGCATTTGCCCTGTAAAAACATCATGTAGCCTGCTTTTCGTTTACAATGTTATCTGAAAGAGAGAATAGGCATTGGTATAGCACAGTTATAGCTGGTGTTGCAAGATATTTACCTGCCAGATGTACTGAGGATTCAGATGTCCCTTCATTGCTTCAACTACTATTCCTATGGACACGTGTCCATGCTGATAGTGGGTTCTCCTCAATAACAATCCAAAGCAAAGCAGACCAACACATTAATTTTCATCGTCTGAGACAGATGCCACAAACAGATGGTTGATTTTGGTTTTTGATTGTTTGGGGTCTGTAGTTGCTGCAGCAGAGTGTTGCTCTTCAAGACTTCTAAAAGCTTGCTCCACCCTCATCTCAGATTTTGGATGGAATTTCAGATTCTTAAATTTTAGGGCAAGTACTGTAACTATTTTTACATAATCTTACATTTGTACCTTCGTTGCATTTTGTTAAATGATGTGTGAAAATGTTCTTACAATGAACATGTATTGGTTCATCATCCGAGACTGTTATAATATGAAATACATGACCGAATGTGGGTAAAGCAGATCAGGAAATTTACAGTTCTCGCCCAAGCAATTCAGTCACAAATTCAATTAATGCATTATTTCTAATGAGCATCATCAGCATAGAAGCCTGTCCTCTGGAATGTTGGTGAAGTATGCTAGACATTTGTATGTCCCTTCATATCTCGCATGTACATATCTTGCAATCCAGCTACATAAGTACAAGAAATAGGACTGGCTGGACTTGTAGGCACTAAAGTTTTAAATTGTTTTTTAGTGAGGTTATCTAACAAAAAGAATCTACATTTGGAAGTTATGCTTTCATGATAAAAAGATTGCACTACAGGATTTGTGAATTGAGGTGAATTGAAAAATACTCTTTTGTTTATCACTTTTATAGTGAAAATATTTGTAATAAATAATATAAAGTGAGCACTGTATACTGTTTTATATTATATTTTCTATTATGTAGCACTGATTATTCGCAGTTAGTTTTTAAAATTGATTAATTTATTTGAGTTAATTGTGAGAGTTAATTCGGATTAATCAACAGGCTTAGTTTTAGTTGAAATGAATATTAACAAAATTTTGCTAATTATTTATATTTAAGTCCATCCACCCTTGCCCTTGGGCAAGGAATTCTGACTGTCCCCTATAACTCCTTCTGCCAAGGTGCTCTGAGTACCTCATGTCCTCTTGCCTTGCCCCCCATGCTACTGACTCCTTTTCACCCCCCTCTTTTATTAGGGGGCTTTTGTGTGCCCACATCCTTCCCCCATGGCAGGGGCTCTGTATGGACTGTATTTTCCTCCCATACGTGGGTCTCTATGCTCAGTCCCATACCAAAATCCTGTATTGTTTTGCCCATGCCAGGTTCTCTGCATGCCTCCTCCCTTTCCCCCATGGTAGGGTTTTGTAGTCCTGCATCTTCATACCCATCGCCCCCAGCAATCCCTGCAGCTTGGTATACGCACCAAGTCCCCATCTCCCCTTCCTTGTATCTAGGACCATCCCAAATTCACAGCCATGAAAAATGCATCCAAAATTGTGAAATTTGATCTTCCCTGTATGAAATTTGGTCTTTTGTGAGCTTTGATCCTATTCTATATAGATTTCACTGGGAAGTCCAGCATTGCTCAAGTCCAGTTTTGTGGTGGGGTTACAAAGTTATTTTTTGCCATCCTTTCTTTTGTGCTTCCTTCAGAGCTGGATGGCTGGAAGGCAGAGGCTGCTGACTAAGGGCCCAACTCTGAAGGCAGCAATGCAGAAACAAGGGTAGAAATACCATCCTAGGCCATCCTTCCTTTTGCAGTAATGCTGGCAGCAGCTCTTACTTGAGACTTAGGCTTCTGTCTAGTAGCCACCGTTCATTGGCTGCACGGTTCAGAAGGTAGCACAGAAGTAAGGGTGGCAATACCACGATTCCCCTAAAATAACCTTGCACATGCGCGCACACGCGCGCGCACACACACAGTTTTCTTTTGGCTTAGGTTCCTTTTAATTATAACTCTGTGACTTTTCAGATTTAAATAGCTGAAATCATGACATTTATAGTTAAAAAAAAATCTTATGATCGTGAAATTGACTAAAAAGGAGCATGAATTTTTCAGGTCCCTACTCATGTCCACTCGTTCCTCTCCTCCCTGTAAACTTTTTTGGCATAGTAGCGGAGTACAAACTGGCTTTGTGGAGTCTGGATTTACATATCAAGAGAGGTAGACATGGGAATTTGCATTACATGCATCTGATGAAGTGGGTCTTTGCCCACGAAAGCTCATGCTCCAAAAAATCTGTTAGTCTATAAGGTGCCACAGGACTTCTCGTTTTTCTTGCAGATTCAGACTAACATGGCTACCACTCTGATACTGGTTCCTCTCCAGGTTGCTAAGATTTTCCCATTTTCCTCTTTCCTCCTGCGTTCCAGGATCGCTACTTTGCCCTCCCCATCGTCACTACCTACAGACACCACACCCAGACGTCTAGGGCCTCCCTGCTTTTTGTAAGGACTTAGTTCTGAGAGTATCCAAACTATAGTCTGTCTTTCTTCAGCAAGTTAAGATGCTATCACTAGTATGCGTGGACAGCCACAGGAGGCAGCAGAGAAGTTCTTCTGCCTGCACCACCAGTCAGTCTAGGAGCCCTGATTTTGCTGTGAAACCAGTTTTACTGGTATTCTGATGTACCTTAAAATCAATAGATTTATGCCCACTGCTGTCTAGAACATTTCCTGAAATTCTGGAATTAATGGGTGTGACATTCCATACACATTGTGTTACTGACAGAGAAATGTCATTGAATTAGATGTTAAACTTTGGTTACGTCTAGACTACATGCCTCTGTCGCCAGAGGCATGTAGATTAGGCTACCAGACATAGTAAAATGAAGCGGCGATTTAAATAATGGCCGCTTCATTTAAATTTACATGGCTGCTGTTTGTCGGCTCAGCGCGATAGTCTGGGCGCGCGAGTGGCGACATCAAAGGTATTTGTCGACCACCCAGGTAAACCTCATCCCATGGCGCGGCAGCCATGTAAATTTAAATGAAGCGGCGATTATTTAATTCGCCGCTTCATTTTCCTATGCCTGGTTGTCTAATCTACATGCCTCTGGCGACAAAGGCATGTAGTCTAGTTGTATCCTTTGTTTATAGCTTTTTGGCTGAGCAAAACACCGCTGCAGCTTTTCCCACCTTAAAATGCCTTTATAATACAAATACACTAGCTTTGTATTTGTCATTTGGAATTTTCATTACATTCACTTAGAGAAAATATTCACAACAGTTATTTTTGGCATACATTCCTTTTTATGGTTCTGTTTAAACCCACAGGTGTGTAAATTGACTAGATGAATGTCTGCTAGTTAAACTTAAGTATCTGAAGTGCATCAGAGATGACAGTGTGATCATAGTTATTGTTTGTTGAAATTTATGTACATTAAATGCTGTTTTTTGTTTCTAGTCTCACATGCAGTGGTGAGAAACGCCGACGTGAGCAGGAAAGCAAATATATTGAGGAACTAGCTGAGTTGATATCTGCTAATCTGAGTGACATTGACAATTTCAATGTCAAACCAGATAAATGTGCAATTTTAAAGGAAACTGTAAGACAGATCCGGCAGATAAAGGAACAAGGTAAGGATTTCTCGCTCCAATTGTAAGGAAGAATATTTATTTTTATATCAAGAAGCTGCTTCTATCCAAAACAATAGTTGTTGAGACAATACAATGGAATTTTCATGTCTCAGACCCTGATTTAGGAAAGCACTTCAGCGCATAGTTAAATCCATCCCTGTTCCAGGCTTATTTGCTATTCAGCAATTAGTACATGCTGAATTTTAAGCATGTGGTTGGTGCAGTAACCAGACTTTTTGGCCCATGGCCCAGGTGGCTCAATGCCAACTTTTCCATGGACCACCAGTTGCCAATGGAAATTCGCCGTTAATTACATAATTACACTCGAGCCATTTTGCTACTGCTGCAGCTAGGGAAAACAGTTTGGATACTTCTAGACTTACTTTCACTTTCAAAAGAAGATATGCAAATTTTGTGGTAATTTGCATATCTTCTTCCGATTGCTTTTTCGAAAGAGTTTTTTCCGAAAAAGCAAGCAGTTTAGATGTGGTTCTTGCGGGGGGGAAAAAAACTCTTTTTTCGAAAAAACCTGTAAACCTCAATTTTTGAGATTAAGATTTTTTCGAAAAAGAGACTGGAAGAAGATATGCTAATTACCACCAAATTTGCATATCTTCTTTCGAAAGTAAAAGTAAGTCTAGACGTACCCTTTAATTTAACCAGTAAGAAATAATAATTTAAATTATTAAACGAATTAAGCACTTAACTTTCTCATGTTATTTTATCAAACTTCATTTTAGATTTACTGTTCTGGGGTTCCAGGGGGGTGGGGGCAAGAGGGGGGGGGGGGGGGGGGGGGGGGAGGTTCAGTGTGTGAGACAGGGCTGCCAGTGAGAGAAATGGGGGGTGCAGGATCTTGGTGCGAGGCAGGGTGCAGAACAGGGTGAGGATGCAATGTTTGGATGGGAGGTAGGGTGCAGGAGCAGTCTGGGAGTACGGTGTCTGGCCAGGAGGAATGAGCAAGGGAAGGTGTGGTGTGTTGCCAGGAGGGAGAGGTGCAGGAGCAAGGGAGGGTGCAGGAATGGGCTAGGAGTGGGGTGTGTCTGGCCAGGTGGAGGGTGCAGGAGCACGGTAAGATGCAGGAATAGGCTGGAGGTGTAGGGTGTCTGGCCAGCGAAGAGGGTGCAGGAGCAGGCTTGGGGTGCTGGGTCTTGGTGGGGGAGGAGTGTGTGAGGGGGTTGGGGTAGGGGGAGTCTGGGCATGAGGGGGTTGGGGGCACTTATTTGCTTTCGTGCCCTGCGCCGCTCCCAGGTATGGCCTGCCGCTGCTCCCATTGGCTGGATTCCAGCCGATGGAAGCAGCAGAGAAACCCAGCTCCCCCCCAGCCATGGGAGGGGGAGCGCTTCTTCCCCATAAGCTGGATCGGCTTGGGGCTTGCTTTCCTCCCACCCCACCCCCATCCTTGTGAGGGCAAGACTGGAGCGCCAGCATGGGCTGCCTGCTGCAGTGGGAAGGAGCTAGGGCTGAGCTCAAGCTACGGACCACCTGGAAGTTCAGAACCACTGGGTTAGTGGGACTAAATCCAGTGCTTGAAGTGGAGCAAGTGCTTAACACTCTTTATAAATAAGGAAGTTTCTGGAATCAGGGCCTAACATTGTTGGTTGTTCAAAGTACACCATTTGTTATTAGCTTCCTTAAACTATTTAAACATGCAATAAAAGCTTAAAATAGCTCTAAAAGCAGTTCTTCAAAACATAGATGGACTAGTTGCCAACTAAGGATGTTAAATTTAATCAACTAATCGAATAGTTGATGTACTTTGCATCAACTATTTGATTAATTGATAAGGGTGCCTCTGCCTTTGAAATGTAGTTAGATCCCTGACGGCTCTTATTACATTTCAAAGGCGGAAGCGCCACAGTACGTTTCAAAAGCAAAGCGCTGCTGGGAGCGCAGGGACATCTAGGGACTCAGACAGTCCTGTCCCTTGCCCTGCTCGTGCTACATTTCAAAGGTGGAAGCCCCGCCAGTTCCCAACTGCGCCCCTGTCCCTTCTCCCCACAGAGACAGTGCTGGGTGGAACAAGCTTTTAAGCTGGCTTCCCCAAGCACCGGATCCTGCCCTCCCTTGCTGCCTCTGTCTGATAGAGGCAGCAAGGGAGGGGGGGGGGCGTGTGGGGAGAGAGGAAGTGACTAGTTGAGTCACTAGTCTATTATCCTATAAGCATTTGCTTATTGGATAGTTGACTAGTCACTTACATCCCTCTTGCCAACTGGGATAGTCTACTGCCCATTAATTAAAAGTTTACTGCCAACTTGGGTGGTTTGAAATTAATTTATAAAAGAAACTCAGTTTCTGATAAAGCACCGTTTCAGAACAATGTCCTGAATTTTTAAATTATTTTTTAAAATATGTTGCATTTTTGTGTCTTTGCTGCTCCCTTTTTCATATTTGAAAGCCTTTCTAGCAAGGGAAAATAACGGGGGTCCAATACAGTCAGACTGCAACTAGTTGACAGTGTGACCAATTAAAAAGTGCCATTAATGGTAGACAAAAATGTAAGTGCAAAATCCCCACCGAAAAAACAAGCCAACCAACTTGGGGGGAAAAGTAGAGGAACATCTATTTCACTAATGTCCTACGGTTACAGTAACCTTAAATTTTACTTGTAACAATAGTAATTTTTTAGAGAAATATTGTTTCATTTTCTGTTTCGCCCTAAACCTTGTAAATGCAAGGCATATACTAATAGAAGTGACTTCAAAAAATTAGATTATATATCAGGCTTATGCCAGTTCCTTGAGTTTCCACTCAGTAGTAAATTATATTAGCCTGCTGGAATATATAGTACATTGTACCTAGAATGGTATACAGTAAAACTCCATTGGTCCAGCATCCAATGCTCCGACATTCCTGATGGTCTGGCACCATCAGAAACTTGGAACTGCTCCAGCTTGCTCCCACAGCGCCGAGGGGCGGCGCTACGGCACCAGCCCAGCAGCACTCCAGCTGCTCTTGGGGACACCTGGGACAGAGCAGCTGGGGTACTACCCGGTTGGTCCCGTAGCGCTGCCCCTCAGGGCTACGGGACCAACCTGGCAGCACCCCAGCTGCCTTTGGGGATTCCGCTGATCAGTTTCAGCAGCAGCTGCCGGGTTGGTCCCGCAGCACTGAAAGGCGGCGCTGTGGGCCCAAACCGGCAGCACCCCCGCCGCTC